CTATGATTTTACCTTTTGACAAGCGACATTTTTTTGGAGTAAATTGGATTCTTTTTTATTTTACTTCTCTGTGTTTTCGTGATTCCTCTTTTTGATTTAGTAAAAGTAAGAAAAGTTAATCAGCGAAAGAGGAATAAAATTAAGTGAAAATGTCATCTACCCTTAGGGCTCCAATACCAGGTTTTAGAGCAAGAGAAAGGTAAGAGACCTTGTAGTTTAAACACACCCATAAAATAGCTTTATAAACTGAGGCCCAAGAGGAAAGGCGATTGAGCCAAAGTCTTACAAGTTAGTGGCAGAGCCTGGAACAGTGCGGTGGACTGGCAGAATTGAAAGAAAACATTGAGGTCACTAAGTTAGCCTTTCCCAAGATGAGATCACTCAGACAGAAGGAGTCTATTGTTAGATGTTTGAAAAATGTTGGATTAAAGAAAGATGCAAAATCTCACCATTAGAGAACTTCTTAGACACACAGCAATGACTTGGCCACTCCATCTAAGAGACAGCGTGCAGGGCCCCTAGACAGGTGCCCTTGAAAACCATTAACACCTGTTGTTAGAGCTTTCTCTGACGCTAGGAGAAATACTATATTTTCGATATATTCCTTGCTGTTTTTTAAAAATAGTCTTCTCAACTTTTTTTAAGGGTTGTTTGTCAGTGTGCAAATTGTCTAGGTATTTTAAATATTATTATTATTATTATTATGAGACAGAGTCTCACTTTGTCACCCTCTGTAGAGTCCTGTAGCATCACAGCTCACAGCAACCTCCAACTCCTGGGCTCAAGCGATTCTCCTGCCTCCGCATCCCAAGTAGCTGGGACCACAGGCACCTGCCACAATGCTCGGCCATTTTTTGGTTGCAGCCATCACTGTTGCAGCCATCAAATCCTGCCCGGGCTGGATTTGAACCTGCCAGCTCAGATGCAGCATGTAGCTTGTGTCCTAGCCACTTGAGCCACAGGCGCCAAGCCTGCCCAGCTATTTTTTATTGCAGTTGTCATTATCATTTAGCTGGCCTGGCCAGATTCGAACCTGCCAGACTTATTTTTTAAAAATTATACTACCAAATTATCTGTTGCTGTTATATAGGAAGGCAGTTGGTTTTTTTTTCTTAACTTCATTTCTCTGTTTTTTAAAGGAGGAAAATTATAACTATGCAGAAAATACAGAGAATAATATTGTGAAAATCAATGAATTCACCGTTCATTTTCTCAAATCCTACGACATGGCAATATTTTCTTTGGATTTATTTTTTATTATAATAAAAAAAATAAAACCTTGTACTTAAGAGTTGAAGCCCTCTGTCACCCTCCCTGCTACCCTTCTCATAGGTGACCACTGTCAACCTTTGGTGTTTATCATTACTAGACATGTTTTCATACTTTTCACCAGACATGGCCACATAAATAATATATAATATTATTTTGCATATCCAGGTTATCTACCTTTTTATAGGGTCTCACTCTGTCACCCAGGCTGGAAATGCAGTGGCATTAACATAGGTCACTGCAGCCTCAACCTCCCAGGGTCAAGTCATCCTTCTGGCTTAGCCTCCCAAGTAGCTGGGACTATAGGCCCATGCTTCCACATCTGGCTAATTTTTTATACTTTTTGTAGAAAAGGGGTCTCATTATGTTGCCCAGGCTGGTCTTAAACTCCTGGCCCCCAGGGATGCTCCTACCTCAAGCTCTCAAAGTGATGGGATTATAGGCATGAGTCAGAGTTCTCTCCCCTGGAAAATTTATTTAAATGGTACATCATAGGCATCCTTCAGCAACTTTTATTTACTCCACATAATGGCTTTTTACTAGATCACCTATTTAAAGTGCTGTGTGTGAATATCCCAAGTATATTCATTCCACTCTGGTTTTTTCTTGTTTGTTTGTTTGTTCTTTGTTTGACATTGTCACCCTTGGTAGGGTGCCATGGCATCACAGCTCACAGCAACCTCAAACTTTTGGGCTTATGCAATTCTCTTCCCTCAGGAGTAGCTGGGACTACAGGTGCCCTCCACAATACCCAACTATTTTTTTGAGATGGGGGGGTCTCGCTTTTGCTCAGGCTGGTCTCAAACTCGTGAGCTCAGGCAATCCACCCACTTCACCCTCCCAAGTGCTGGGATTTCAGGTATGAGCCATTGCACCCAGCCTTATTCTATTTTTTGACAATGGAGTTTTTTCCAATTTGTCACTATCTTTGATGACCCTCCCAAGAACATTCTTATGCCTGTGGATGGGAGTTTCACTAGGGTAACATGGAGGAGCAGAATTTCTGGATCTCAGGCAATGGACATCTTCACTTTAGTGAGCTATTGGTAAATTGCTCACACTTGCCTACCCAAAACACTTCAACCAGTCGTGTTCAGGAGTTAGGGTTGCTTCAAATCCTCATCAGGCTTTGATTTTGTAAGATAATCCATGTAAAATGATCCTTCACTTATAATCACATTTCCTCTCTTACTGGAGAGGGAGAACTCCTTGTGTCATTTGTGTTTCCTAGGCTGTGAGTGCACTTCTTCATATCCTTTACCCATTTTTCTATTGCATTATTTTTCTTCGCATATCAATTGGCAGGAACATTTTTTTTTAGCACTTGTTGAAACATCTTTTATACATGAATGGAATCATATAGTATTTGTACTTTTGTGGCTGCCTTATTTCCCTTAGCATAATGCCCTGAAGGGTTATCCATACAGTAGTAGCATGTGACAGAATTTCTTTCCTTTTTAAGGTTGAGTAATATTCCACTTTAAGGATAGATCACATTTTATTTAACCCTTCATCCACTGATGGAGACTTGGGTTGCTTCCACCTTTTGGCTGTTATGAATAACGCTGCTATGACCATGGTTATGAATATCTCCTCCTGATCCTACTTTCAATTTTTTTTTACATACACCAGAAGTGCAACTGCAGGATCATATAGTAATTCTATTTTTAATATTTTGAGGAACTGCCACACTGCTTTCCATAGCCCTATTTTAAATTCCCACCAGCAGTGCATGGTTTTTCTCCACATTCACCAATATTTGTTATTTTCCTTTTTGTTGTTGTTTTAAAATATCCATCCCAGCAGGTACAAAGTGGTATTTTATTGTGCTTTTGATTTACATTTCCTTAGTGATTAATGATGTTAAGTATCTTCTTATACGCTTATTGGTTATTTGCATGTCTTCTTCAGAGAAATGGCTATTTAATTCCTTTACCCATTTTTAAATAAAGTTGTTATTTTTTTTTTTTTTTTGAGACAGAGTTCTCACTTTGTCACCCTCAGTAGAGTGTTGTGGCATCACAACCCATAGCAGCTTCAGACTCTTTTGGGCTCAAGCGATTCCCTTGCCTCAGCCTCCCAGGTAGCTGCGTCTACAGGCACCCACCATAATGCTTGGCTATATTTTTAGAGATGAGGTCTTGCTCTGGCTCGGGCTGTCTCCAACCTGTGAGCTCAGGCAGTCTACCTGTCTCAGCCTCCCAGAGTGCTACAGGATTACAGGCGTGAGCCACCACGCCAGGCCTAGAGTTGTTATTTTTGTTGTTGTTAAGTTGTTGGTGTTCTTTATATAATCTGTATATTAACCCCTTATCAGATACATGATTTACAAATATTTTCTCCCATTCCATGGGTTGCCTTTCACTCTGTTGATAGTGCTCTTTGGTACGCAAAAGTTTTTAATTTCCATATATTTCAATTTATCTAATTTCTTTCTTTCTTTTTTTTTTGAGACAGAGTTTTACTATATCACGCTCAATAGAGTGCTGTGGCATCCCAGCTCACAGAAACTTTAAACTATTGGGATCAAGCAATTCTCTTGCCTCAGTTTCCCAAGTAGCTGGGACTACAGGCACCCGCCACAATATCTGGCTATTTTTTGTTGCAGTTGTCATTGTTGTTTAGCTGGCCAGGGCTGGGTTCGAACCCGCCAACTTCAGTATATGTGGCTGGTGCTGTAACCACTGTGCTACAAGCACCAAGACTATCTAATTTTTTTATTGCCTGTGTTTATGGTGTCATATCCAAGAAGTCACTGCTGTAGCTAATGTCATGAAGCTTTTCCTGTGTGTTTTATTCTAAGGGTTTTATAGTTTTAGGTCTAATCCATTTTTTGTTACTTTTTGCATATTATATAAAGAAAAAAGCCCAATTTCATTCTTTTACCTGTGAATATCCAGTTTCCCCAACACGAATTTGGTTTTGATAGTATTTTTTTCTTTTGAGACAGAGTCTCACTGGGTCACCATAGGTAGACTACCGTGGCGTCATAGCTTACAGGAACCTCAAACTCGTGGGTTTGAGCAGTCCTCTTGCCTCAGCCTCCTGAGTAGCTGGGACTACAGGCACCCACCACAACATCTGGCTAGTTTTTCTATTTTTCGTAGAGATGGAGTCTCAATCTTGCTCAAGCTGATCTTGAACTCCTGAGTTCAAGAAATCAACCCCCCCCCCCCAGATTACCTAGCTGATTTTTTTTTTTTTTTGAGACAGAGCCTCAAGCTCTTCCCCTTGGTAGAGTGCTGTGGCATCAGGGCTCACAGCAACCTTCAACTCCTGGGCTTAAGTGAGTCTCCTGCCTCTACCTCCCAAGTAGCCGGGATCACAGGCACCCACCACAACACCTGGCTATTTTTTTGGTTACAACTATCATTGTTGTTTGGTGGGCCCAGGGTGGATTCAAACCACCACCTTAGGTGTATGTGGCTGGCGCCTTAGCCACTTGAGCCACAGGCACTGAGCCTACCCAGCTGTTTTGATAGTATTTTGTTTAAGATGTTTGCACCTGTGAGATACTGCTTTGATTTGACCTCTGATCTATTCCTTGAATCCTCTCACCATCCTCCCTGGCAGGTGCTCATTTAGCTTGGGCTTAATTCTTCCAATGAGAGGACACTTACTATTTAACAAAGCAGCTTTTTCTCTGGTAGAACAACTGTCTGATAGAAAGGTCATTTTGGCCAACCCCATATACTAGAGGTGGCGGGTTCAAACCCAGCCCCAGCCAAAAAACTGAAAAAAAAAAAAAGTCATTTTGAGCCTAAGCTTTGCTCCCAGTAGCATCTATCTATTGGTCCTGGTTTGTCCTCTGGAGTTTTAAGAATCAGCAAGCACTGTTTTCCAAAGGGAACTACTTTGAATTCGTAAGTAACACAATTAGAAGCTGGGTGACTACATGTCAGGTTTATAAGACTTATCACATTTATTCTGCAAAGAAGTCTATAAAGAGGGCTTATTGATTCCTGTTTTGTAGATGAAGAAAATCATGCTTAAAGAGCCTATGGTTTTTGAAAGTTCAAACAGCTGTGTAGATGGCTGTGCCATTGATCTCTCAACAGCAATGGCCTTGACCACTGTACCATCTCACTTCTCTCCTCTTCCTCAATACGTATTGCTCAAGGGGCATAGCTTTCACATCTTGTCCCAACCTAGGAAAAATTTTAAGTGTTCTATTAAAACAGAAACCAAGCACAATTGTCCACATATGGTCCTCTAAGAACAGAATGCAGAGGACCTCTTAGCTCCTTTGCCATGACACCTCATTCTCCCCAATGACACACATAAGACTGGATTAGATAGAGGTTTGGGCGGCTACCCCCAAGTGAAATCTCTAAAGTGTTGTTATGTCACCTGCTGCATAGACAGCTCTCCCCATCTCACTGTCCAGGTGATTTATTTTTAACCAAAGTAGAGGGTTTTTCATTCCTCTCCATTGAATTCAGAAATTTGTCTAAACCCATTTAAATCTTGATCTCATTGTCATTTTATTTTTTTAAATTTTTTTTTTTTGAGACAGAGTCTCACTATGTCACCCTTAGTAGAGTGCTGTGGCATCACAGCTCACAGCAACCTCCAACACTTGGGCTTAAGCAGTTCTGTTGCCTTAGCCTCCCAAGTAGCTGGGACTACAGGCACCCAGCTACTTTTTAATGCAGTCGTCATTGTTGTTTTAGCTGGCCTGGGCTGGATTTGAACCTGCCAGCCTCAGCATATGTGGCTGGCACTGTAACCACTGTGCTACGGGCACCAAGCCACCACCGTCATTTTATAGGTAACACCTCTATAGCACTTACTATGTGCCAGGCACACTTCTAAGCCTTCGATCTCCATTAACACAAGTAATCCCCACAACGACCCAATGACATACACTTCATTATCACTGCTATTTTGCAAGTAAAACACAGAGCAGTGAAGTAACTTGTCCCAGGCCACACAGCTCATCCATAGCACAACTAGAATTCAAGCCCAGGAAGTCAGGTTCCAGAATTTGTACTTGATACTGTACAGTTGTCAAATATGCTGACAGTCTGAGCCAGCTTTGGGGGATCCAAAAGACTGACAAGCCCTTGGGACTTCCTTTTCTAACAAAGAGAGAACAGAAGCTTTAAAGGTAAAAAGCATGAAATCAGCATATGATATAATGGTTTGTTTCATTCTGGTTATTTCTCCATCGCTTTCTACCTATGATACTGGTGTTTCACTGGATAATAACATTTCCTTCTAAAATAGATCTAAGTCAAAAGAAGTGAGTTGATGTAAGAAAAATGTTATGTAAGTGGTTTTCAGATAGGACAAAAATCATAATGGTCATAGAAAAATCAGTGAAGCTCAGGAAAGATAGTGTTCAGTCAAGTCAGGAGAGGTTATGCTGCAGTAACAAAACAGGCTCCAAAGGGCCAGGTGCTATAATCCCAGCACTCTGGGAGGCCGAGATGGGCAGATTGCTTGAGCTCAGGAGTTTGAGGTTGCTGTGATCTGTGACACCACAGCACTCTACCCAGGGTGATAAAGTGTGACTCTGTCTCAATAAAAAACAAACAAACAAACAAACAAAAACAGGCTCCAAGTCTCAGTGACTTAGTACAGCATATGTTTATTGCTTACATGACTTACGTACATGTCCATTGTAGGTCATCAGTGGTTCTCCTCTCTGTGGTGACTCCGTACCTACTCTTGCTTACACAACGACAACACTGGCTCTTAAAGCTTCTGCCCGGAGTGACACAAGTTGTTTTCTGCTTACATCTCATTGGCCAAAACAAGTCACACGTAGCTTCAAAGGAAGCATCAAAGTGTAGTCCTCCCATGGGCCTGAAAGGAGGGAAGTAGAATAGTTGAGAACAGCCCACAGATAGACTATGAACAAGGGAGCCTAAAAGAAGACTCATTGGGTTTATCTGACTTTGGGTACTATGACCAAGCCTACCAAGTGGTCTTCAGCACCTGTTCTCAGAGATGAGAGTCTGGTCCACCAGGAAAAAGATGGATCTGACAACACTGTTCTGAGAAGCAGACATGTCTCCCAGGCAACAACTCAAGATTTCTTTTGTTTGCTGGTGGAGGCAGGAGATACTGATATATCATAAGTGGTTTTGGCTGAACTCTGTGGTCAGTTTTTGTCTATTCCCTGATGGAAGATAAGGCAATTTGGGCTTTGGCTGAGCTAGAATTTCATTATGTTGCTAGTTTGAAAAGATATTCAGGGGAAGGTCTTGGAAGGAGGGGAACTCAAGGGCAGGGTCCTGGTGAGTTGGGATCCTGGTACAATGCTTAGTTACCTGGTTAGCAGGAGGCTAACTTAGTTTAGGCTAACTTCCTGGAGGAGTTTTCACCCATTAGGGTCTGAGGGTCTGTATCATTCCACCCATGGAAGCTCATTAAGTACCTGATGCCTGGGCCCACTGTTGATCCTGGGCCCTTGAGGTAGGGCACCACTCATCTGATTTCGTATTAATGGCCCCAGATGATTCCTATGGACACTAAAATTTGCACAGCACTGAATCACTGAGAGAAAATTCCTTGTAAGTTTAGAAGCTTCACATAGTGACTCTCAATGGGGGATAATTTTGACCCCCCAAGGAACATTTGTAGCTGTCTGGGACCCATTGTCACACTAGGGGGTGGGGAAGGTGTTCCTGGCATCTAATGGGTAGAGACCAGAGAGGCTGCTGAGTGGCCTGCCAGGCACAGCACAGCCTCCCCACAACACAGAATAGCCTGGCCCAAAATATTGGTGGTGCCACGGTCAAATTGGCCGTTTGGGTCCTTCTAAACATAAGAGCCCGGATGATTTTTAAATCTCTTCTTCCATTTTACTCTCTAAAATTTCTACTAGAAGCATAGAATCCTTTCCACTAAGCACCTGCTCTGTACTAAGCGTAAGGACTTCATGTGCATTATTATCTGTTCCTCCTCAAAAAACCTTTTCAGTCATTCATCCACCAAATATCTATTAAGTACCTACGATGCACTTAATTTTAAACTGTTCATGATGTGGGGGGTACTCCAGGGAATACAACAGTCGAGGATCACCTCCCTCATAGGGGTTGAAGAAATGGAAATAGATAATATCCAAGTTACTAAGCACATGTAATTTTAAATTGTGATAAATGTTATGAAGAAATAACAAGTACAGGGACCAAAAATGAAAAGGTGAGCAGTGGGGAGAACCTACCTAAACAGGAAGACGAGTTCTCCCAGAAAAGGTGACTATTAAATGTCTTGCCAGTGATGCAAAGGACCAATGAGGCATAGAGAGGAGAGGATATGCAAAGGCCCTAAGATGGGAAAGAAAAACTAAAAGAATGGCAGAGTGGTTGCTGCCGATAGGGGTGAGGGCAGTGGAATGAAATGAAGCTGGAGATGTGCGGATATAGAATCAAGGTCATGTACAGCTTCACAGTCTATGGCAGGAGTTTTATGAGATTTATTATAAATGCACAGGAGGTCACCAAAGTGGAAGTGAGGGTGGATCTGATTCAATGTGTGTTTGTGCTAGATCACTCCTGGCCCCTGAGTGGTAGAGCCAGAGTGGAAAAAGAAGAGAAGAGGAAGGACTTTTGCAGACTCGCAGAGATGATGGCAAAGTGACAAAGTTGGGTGGGTTGAAGATGAAGAGATGGTGACAATTCTAGATGACCGTCGGAAGCGGCAAGAACTTGATTCTGATGGGTCGGGTTGAGAGGGAGGGCACAAGGAGAGTAATTTGCAGGGTTTGGGCTTGAATCACTGGAGGAGGAGTGCAATATGACATCTGGCTATTACTGTTATTCTCGTTTTAACAACTTAAAAAAAGAAAGTGAATCGTCCAGCGTTACCAGGCCAGCATGTGGACTCATACATTAGGTTTTATAATGGGGGGGGGGGAGTACTGTTTAATAATAATAATGTCATTACAAATGTCCCTCAATGCTAATGCAGGCTTCTACATGGAACCCTTACAAAGCCTGGGACCATCCTCAAAGGTGCCTGTACATTGAGACAGCGTGCTGGGAGCAGATATTTTGTCATTAGTGGAATGACAGCAAGGTGCTGGCCTTGGGAACTAGTTTTAAAATCCTGCATTCTGAAAGGTGCAGTGGCCAGGCTGGTGTGTGATTGGAAGGAAGATCGCCTGCGTAACTAAATCTAACGAACTGTGATTGGTCATTATGCCAGCTAGATTTGAAGAAACATAGTCTGTGACTGGTGGGATTGTAGGGCGTCTGTGATTGGTGGGATTGTAGGGCGGCCTTTGCTGTGACTGGTAAAGCCTGTAAGCCTAAATTTCTGAGCGCCAGTTCCTATATTGGCCACTAAGAGGCGCCCAGGAAACGCAAAGTCCGGCAGTGCCCAGTACCTCGGCCGCCTCCTCCTGGACGCCCTCTGGCTTACAGCGGTGCCAGGTCTGTCTTGAGCCCCGGGGCAGCCGCGGGACGGAGGAGGGGCGGGGAGATGTGTCAGGGTTCCCAGCTGTGGCCTGGGTGGCCACGCTTCTCTGCACAGCTCCTTTGGCCTCTTCCTCTGGCTCCCAGCCCTGCCGAGGACATTGGCTAGCTGGAGGGGTGGGACTGCGGTTGGTGAAAGTTTGTGAAGGCCGGGGTCCAAGTTTTAAAAGTGCGACTCTTCTCAGCTGCGCCCTCTGCCCGTCACGTAGTCATTCCCAAGTTTAACAGCCTCCACAGATTCCTTTAAGACGCAAAGGGCTTTTCAGAGGTAGCATCTTATTGGAGCTTAGAACGGGGGTCGGGGCAGTTAAAGGCCTCTGGATCAGGAGAGTGCCCCATCCAGAGGGGCACCCTGCCCATCCTCTGGTGCTGTTTCCTAGTCTTGATTGCACTTGACCACTATTGGTCATTTACTTCGTTTTTTATTTATGTATCTTTTGCTGTCTGTCTCCATCCTGCCTGCCCGGGCAGGGAGGGAGTAGAGTTGCCAGATACAATACGGAATATCTACTTTCATTTGAATTTGAGATAAACTTTCATTTGAATTTCAGATCAACAATGCACATTTTGAAAATCTAAGTATATGTCCCATGCATTATGGGGGAAGTAATTTGTACTAAAAAAAAAAAGTGCATTGTTGATCTGAAATTCCTGTTTAACTGGGCATCCTATATTTTTCCTTGCTAAGCCACAACCCTGTGAAGGAGGCATTTTGTTGGTTGTGTTTGCTGCTGCATTTCCCACACACAACATTCCAAGTTGAAGGTAATGTTGAATGTTCGGACAGATTCCTTCCTTCCTTCATTGTTTCATCTGACCTATTTCTAAGATCCTGCTGGGTCCTGAGAAGACTGCAGTAAATGGGTGCAGTCCAAGTAACCAGTAAGCAACATCTCACTAAGCTGTGATGACAAAGCTTTGGGAGATGTTAGGGGACGGAGGAGGAACCCCTACTCCACCAAACTAGCCGGGGAAGATAACTAAGATGGGAACTGGAGGACAAGGAGGCAGAGAAAGTGGTGTGACAGCTAGAGGCAGGCAAGACGGTGGGGTTCTGGAAGCTGCAGGTGGCTGGGGAGGATGGATGCACAACGTGGATGGGGCAGTCAGAGAGAGGTGAGCAGGACACGCACATTCACTGGGTGTTACCGCCCACCGGTCAGGCAGGCACAAGAGCGAGGCTGTGTTGTCATTATTGCGGACATCATATAGGTGAGGAAACTGAGGCGTAGAGCAGTGAAATGCTTGCCTAGGCTTACAGTTGGAGAGGAAAAAGCCAAACTTCAAACTCAGATCTGGTAGACCTTGAAGACTGCATCCTTCTAGAAAAGCCTCTGAGTGAAAGATTATAACCCCAATTGGAGGATGGAGAAACTGAGGCTCAGGAAGGTGGCAGGGCTCTTCCTATGAATGTCCAGTTCAACAGGAGAACACTAAGGCAATGCCCAGGGTATAGTTAGTCTCAAGACTAACTTGCCAGAGAGGCAACAGGAGAGCTGGAGCAGGACCCAGGAGTCTAGGGCACTGTGTCCCCCTAGCCTAGGAATCCACTGGGTGGGATCTCTGGGAGCCCCTTGCTAAGCCCTGTGGCTAATTCCTTGCATGGGTCCTGGACAGGTCTGCAGTTTCCATGGAGACCGCCTCCCACCATCCCTGAAATCTCATTGTGACCAGTATTAAGGGATTAACTCTGCCCGGCAGTGCTCGCAGGGTCTGGGGTGCCGGGGGGCAGCAGGAGCTCCCTCAAGGATGAAGAAGTTGCCCATTGTGCACCAGGAGGAGGATGTCAGGCTGGGGCCAGGGCTTCCCCCGGGACCCATCAGGTATGGTCCTGATTTCGCATATGCCTGGAAAGGATGGGGTGGCAGGAGAGAGACACGGAATTGAGAGGAGGATTCCAGATTTGGGGGCAGTGTAGAGAACTGGTGCCCTCAGCTCCCAACCTAGGAAGGCCAAGGGCCCTGATTCTGATCAAAGCAGGATCCAGGTACCTGCAACAAGGTGGGGGCGGGGGGCTATAGAGTCTTTTAGGAGTACACCAAGGCTGCCCAAAGACCTTGGTGAAGATTTAATCTCCTTCATTTTGCAATTGGAGAAACTGAGGCACAGAGCAGGAAAGTGATGTGCCCAGAGTCAGTGAGTCAGTGAACTACAGAAGGTCAGGAATCCAGGGGGAATGCAGGGTTGTCTGAGCAGAAAACATTGTTTATAAACTCAGTGCTTGGCTCAGCGCCTGTAGCTCAGCAGCTAGGGTGCCAGCCACATACACTGGAGCTGGCGGGTTCAAACCCAGCCTGGGCCTGCCAAACAACAATGACTACTACAAACAAAAAAATAACTAGGCGTTGTGGTGGGCCAGTAGCTGTAGTTCCAGCTACTTGGGAGGTCGAGGCAAGAGAATCACTTAAGCCCAAGAGTTTGAGGTTGCTGTGAGCTGTGATGCCACAGCACTCTACGGAGGGAGATATAGTGAGACTCTGCCTAAAAAAAACAAAAACAAAAACAAAAAAACTCATTCCTACTTCTGCTTTAAATTCCAAATCCTCCTTCCTGAGCTGGGGTAATGGATCCCCTTAGTCTCCTCCTACTGGGGCTGGTCCCCTCGGCCAGGCTTCCCTTTCTTCCCTGCCTACTCCTGACCTCCCCTGCCAACCACACACCCTGAGGCTGGCAGAGGGTTCCAGGCAGGCTCCCCAGTGCTGGAGGACATAGCCACCAGGCCCTGACTAGTCCATCCAGGGGACAGCCCTTCTCTGGGTCCCTATCTGGATGACTCTGGACATTGTTTGTTCCACACTTCAGGGGGTTTGGGGACCCTGACAGCCCTCTCCACCTCTTGCCCTAGGAAGGCCAGGTCTGCCCAGGAGAGAGTTAAGCCAGGTTCCAAAGCTCTCTGTGCCAGGCTTCCTGGAAATGCCACGTCAGTGCAGACGGAAAACACTGGCTCTAGAGCCAGGTAGAGATCGTTCAAACGCTGTTGACTTGGCTCACTGAGAAAATGATGTTCCCTCTCTGAGTCTCAGTTTCCTCACCTGTGATGGGGGACAATAATCCTTCCTTCCTCAAAGCTTGCTCTCAACTTCTGGGGAAGTATCTCTAAGCTGTGATATCACATCACCAGAGCAAGGTGCAAACAGTGTTAGAAGCAGGAGTAGAATGTGTGATCTCCTACGCTGCTTCATCAGGGGAACGAAACCTTGGAAGACACATCAGAAAGTGAGAGAAGTGGTCTCCCTGATGAAGAAGGGGAGAACAGTGAGAAGAGACGGGGCGGAAGCACCACGTCTCCGCTTGTACCCTTTTATATTTTGATATTGAATCATGTGAAGGTAGAACCAATTCAAAACTAAATGGAACAATTTTAATAAATTAGGTAAAATATCAAATAACAATCACATGTACCCTAATAATGTGACAGGCATGCAGCCAAGATGGAACTCCCTGTAGAAAGAATTGGCTGCCAGGAACAGAGCAAGCCTGGCTCCAATCTCGACCTAGAAGAGGCTTTTGTTTTAAGTCAATCTCTTCTTGTATATAGTAACAATAAACATGTTGGTACCCCAAATCAGGAGCTCCCTACATGCTAGACACAATGCCAAATGCTGTCTGAACATCATGCCATTTGATCCACATTTTGATTTTGTGAGGGAGTTATTATTAATCCCATTTCACAGATGGGGAAACTCGGCCTCACTGGAGTTTTGACGAGTGAGTTGTAGTACGTTGTAAAACTTAGATGCAAATCCAGGCCTTTCTGCTTCAAATTTTAAGCCCTCCTACAGTGGCTCTCAATCTTGGCTGTACATCAGAATAATCTGGGAACTTTAGAAAACTCTGATATCTGACACCCATAACCCCAATCCCAGGATGTGATCATTAATCTGTGATGAGGCCTGGGTACTTTTTAAATGTCCCAAATGATTTTATTTCACTATCAGGGTAGAATCTCAGCTTTATGCTAGACAGAGCTTCTCAGATGAGAAACCAAGGCCAGGGAGGGAAATGACCTTGTCCAAGGTCACTTGGTGGTTGGAACCATTGCTGGGGTAGGGCTCCCAGGAGCTCACATGAAGCCTTTGTGCAAATAAGATAAAGGTGCCCCACTCTAGGCAGACAAAGCCTCATGGGCACTTGGCTTGGCAGTTGCAACAAAGACTACACGTTTCCACCCCAGTTACGCTTTTGGCTGAGAACTTTTGTGCAGTGAGCAACCTATACAACTGTATGCAGTGACCCTGGCCTGACTCTCAGGACTTAAAAACACTTCACTTTAGTGACCTACGGGGGCCCTTGAAAACAAGGGGAGACCAAGGGTGGCTTCTAGGATGTGAACTCATCCCTCACTCTCCAAACCAGAGTCTGAACCAGGCAGGGGCTCCCCATTATCATTCAGGCCCCACAAGGGCTGAGCAGGCCCAGTGTAACTCCCAAGGTCACCCCTGCAGATAAAGTCAGGAACATAAACAGGAGGAAGGAACATAAATAAGAGGACAGCAACACACTCAACTAGATGTCACAAGCCACCTGGCAGGAGGCAGCCTGAGGGGAGGCTCCACCCACAAGGGCCCAAGTCCTCCTGGCTTCCTTCCTAATCATTCTGCACTCTCCACCTTTCCTCCTGAGCCTGGTGGTCAGCATCTCCCACAATGCCTTGCTCTCTGGCCAGACTGTTCAAGTTTGAGTCCTGCCTCTTGTTTCTCATTAGCTATGTAAGTTTGGGCACAGGCCTCAACCTCTCTGTGCCTCTGGTCTGTAAAATAGTGATAAAAACATTACCAGTCTCCCAGAAGGGCTGTGAGGACCAATGAACGGACACACACAAAGCTCCTAAACAGCCGTGATACAGTGGCCATAATGACCAATGCACGTTTCTCTCCATTTCGTCCTTGTGACAACTCATGATGTTAGGTATTATTGTTCCCAATTTACAGGTGAAGAAACTGAGGCTCAGAAAGTCCAGACAGGGTTCTGCATCTTTCTCCTGATGTCCTGGATAGGACATGGCTGAGATGGGTTATAATGTGGAGTCTCCAGTTCTCAGCTCATGGTTGCTGGTCACACTCTAGGGCAGGGGGTGCAAGACTCAAGCCAAGTTGAATTCTGACTTGGGCCTTCTCGGGGCTTCCGGGCACCTTTCTGTTTCTAGCTAGCTTGGGAGAGAGAGGAGCACGGCAGAGGAGGAATTTTATAGAGCCGTCTTGTTCACAGCTGTCCTTCAACACATCACTCTGGTCCAGAGAGAGCCCACTATTCCCATTCTGGCTGGGGACCCTGGCTACCTGGGGTGACCTTCTGTGCTTGGACAAGTCACTTGCCCCGACCTCTATCTCCCCATCTATACAATGAGGGGGTGAGGCTGGACCGGGGGTTTCCAACTCCCAAATGAAATATTAAGGAAGATCACATCTAAGAATGAGTCTTTCATTGAAACAGGGTCTGCGGACAAATTCCCTTGGCCCCCAGGAGCCTCAGAACCCAGTTTAAAAAGGTCCAGCTTGTCTCTTAAAAGTTCTTCCGGCTGTGACACTGCAGGATTCTAGCACCCCAAGCCCAAAGCTGCCGCCTCGCATCCCTGTTTGGAAAGCTCTTCCTCAGATGCCTTTATCTCTCTTTGGTAACAGAGCAAATTTGCTCAGGACCCAGTACAGGGGAACAAGCAGACTGTTGACTCTTGAGCAAAACCCCAGCCTTTGGAGAGCAGCAGCAGAGGCCGTGGGATGTTCATGGGGAGGCCAGTGGCCTCTTGCATAACCCAGGAGGCCTCCTGCCCACCTAGGCCTTTTCAGGGTTAGGGGTGAGGCAAACCGCAAACTCATGCCCAGTTAATTTTTTAAGGCAAAATCAACAGGCTCAGCAATGATTAGCAGGCAGGTAAGTTGGTCTTAATCGTGCTGAGAAAAGGGAGGGAGGAAAGAGGCCTGTAGAGGCCCAGGGATGGGGCTCAGTTATCAGTTAACCACATAAATGTTGTTTCCTTCCAAACCCACTGGCCTTCAAGCCCCAAGCTCCCTCATCTTCCTCTCAGACATGCTCCTGTAGCAACCCAATGGCCGTCAGTCACGGAGGGCACCCACATGCCACCGTCCACAGTGCTGCCAGGGCCCATGAGGGCTGTGATGAAGCAACGGGCTCTCCTTGTTAAGACAAAGCTCACTCACTGCCACATGGCCTTGAGGAAGTCCCTTCAACCCTCTGGGGTTTGTGGAGGGGCCCAACGTCCACAGTTCAACCTGCGGCCAGCTGCCATTCCTCTGAAGGCCTCAGTATCTCCATCCATGAAATGGGTGGGTTAGCAGAGACATCCTTTCCAGTCTTGAAGTTTTGTGGAGTTGGGATTTAATTAAGCCACCATGCCCCACACTCAGGGTTCAGAGAGCTGCGGGAGCAGCATTTTGTGAGCTCAGGGAGGAGAAAAGATGCCCAGACAGCAAGGGGGCCTACCTGGTATCTGCTGTCGGTACCGGCCAGCGTCAGATCCCAGCTCCAGGGAGAAGCCAGCCCTCTGAAATGGAAGGCAGGGGTCCCGGTGGGTGGATGGGGCTTCAAGGGTGTCCCCCTACTCCCAGACCTTGAGAGCCGCCAAAGGAAGAGGCAAAGCTGGGCCAGCCTCGAGCCAGGTGGCTGTCTGGACTGGAGTTTGGTCAGTGGTTGGGGACCTATATTGTGAGATAGTTAGGACTTTGTCCACAAACTGGAATTTGAAATTTCAAAGGGGCGAAACTGAAGGGCCCTACCCCAGAGTGGAGATGGCTCTTGGCTTCTTTCCCCCACGACTTTTGTTCTCTGTCTTGATAAGTCTCGAGTTTTCCCTGCACCGCTCACAGGTGGTGGGTGGGGGAGAAAAAGATAGGAGATAGTGGGATGGTGAGTGCCTGCCTGGGTGGCTGGGCATGTGGAGGATGCCCCTGAACCTGCCTGTGTCCAGGGACAGGGTCCTTCACGTCTCAGGTCCTTGAGCTCCCCAGCGGTACCGGGATGGTGAAGCCACCAGCCCTGATGCTGCAGAATTCTGATGTTCTTTCCGGATTCCCGGGAGTGAGGCAGCACAGAGAGGGGTGCAGCCTTGGAGCTCTGGAGTCAGACTTGGGTTTAAGCTGTTACAAGCTGTGTGACTTTGGGCTAGTCACTTTACCTCTCTGAGTCTTGATTTTGTCATTTATAAGGTGGGGATGACACTAATCCCTACGTCCACGGGCAGATAATATGACAGGCATGGAGGTTCTTAGCATTAGACTTAGCACAAAATTTCTCTTTAGGCATTAGCTCTTACTATTACATAACTTAAAAGAAAAATAATGTGGTCCATAGCGGTAGCCCCCTTAACCACTGTCCCCAACAGAGGCATGAGGTCCCCACCTCCCTTCTCAAAGTCTCCATTTCTCCTTCTACAACATGAATGACCCAGATCTGTTGGTGGACTCCAAGATCCTCTGTTGTCCCCTAGGACGTGCTGCCTCGTGAGGTGGGACCTGACTACCCGAGAGTGAGGGTCAGAGAGAAAGAACAACTGCTAATGTGGTGGCCTCAAGGCTGGCCCTTGTTCATGGCTGGGCGGGCATGAAGCCCCCAGGAGCTCTGCTGAGCAGAGGTCCTGATTCTGGCAGACTATGGCCAGCCTGGAGTCCTGGCATCAACAGGATTTTTTTGTCAATGACAAAAATCACTACTGTTGCACTGTGTCCCTACACTTGGTCGTTTTGTGTCATTTTATGCCTAAACTATGCCTGGGAAGAAGTTCTCAATCCTGTTTTTCTAATGTTGAAACTCAGGCTGAGAGCGGTAGAACCAGAGGTCACAGCTTGGTGGTACACGTCTGTTAGCACTGCCTGGATTCGGGCCAGATCTGTCTGACCTCAACATCTGTGGCTTATGCCCCTAAAGCAAGGTGGAGGGAAGGAGGGCTAAGAAGCTTACAGTATTCTCTCATTGAATCTTCACAACAAACTGCAAGGTAGGCCCATTTTACAGAAGGAAAAACCGAGGCTTCAAAAGAATAACTTGCCTCATGCAGACAGCTGGAGAGGAGCCTATTATAGGATGGGCCCGGAATGTAAACAACCATTGATCTACAGGCACCAGAGACCATCCCCCACAGGGTAACACCCACTCGGTCTGCACAAAGAAGCTTAATACTTTTTATAAGCATAGAAATAAAATCCAGGCCAATGCTTGTGACAGTTGCTCCGCTGCCTGCTGTATTCCCGGGTGCCTGTATAGAAGCATCTAAGCGCTGCAGGGTTTGAATTCTTCCTCATTGTAGAGCCTTGAGGAAGGCTCATTGCTTTCCTTTTTCTCATTAGTTAAAAATTGTTTTTCCCCCCTTGGAGGAAGGGAATGAAACTTTTTTATTGATACATAATGATCATACGTTTTTATGGGGGATGGGTGATACTTCCACACATGCTTACAGTTCGTCATAATCCAATCAGGGTAATTAGGATATCCATCACCTCAAATACTTCTGCCCTTGGGTTTGGAGGTTCTAAATCTGTTCTAGCTATTCTGAAACATACAATCAATCATTGTTAACTGTCCTCACCCCACTGTGCAATTGAACACTAGAGCTTACTCCTTTTATCTAACTGTATTTTTGTGTCCATTAACTAACCTTTCTTCATCCCCCAAATGAAACTTTTAAGACCTCTAGATATCATACTAAGCACCTCCATGTCTCATTTTTTCCCACTTCCCTTTTTTCCTCCTTGTATAACATAGGAGGAAAAAAATATTGTACTAATTTGATTTGTAAGGATCTTTTTTTTTGAGATAGAGTCTCACTCTGTCCAGCTAGGTAGAAGGCCATGGCGTCATAGTTCACAGCAACCTCAAACTCTTAGGCTCAAGCAATTCTCTTGCCTCAGCCTCCTGAGTAGCTGGAACTATAGGCGCCTGCCCCAATGACTAGCTATTTTTAGAGACAGGTCTCACTCTTGCTGTGATTGCCTGTGGTTTTAGGCAATCCACCCGCCTCAGCCTCCCAGAGTGCTGGGTTACAGGCATGAGCCACCACCTCCAGCCTGTAAGGGTTTTTTTATATGTTATGTTAAGGGTCTGTTTGGTATCCATTGAAACATTCCTTGTTGCAGTTCAATGTCTGTTTATTTCAGAGACATAGAAGGACTCTTACAACCTTAGCCACGGTTACAAAATATGCAGAATAGTAATTTAAAATGTAAAGTTGTGGCCAGGTGTGATGGCTCACACCCATAATCCTAGCACTCTGGGAGGCCAAAGTGGGAGGATCTCTTGAGCTCTGGAATTCCAGACCAGCCTGAGCAAGAGTGAGACCTAGAAAAATGAGCCAGGTGTTAATGGTGGGCGCCTAAAGTCCCAGCTACTCGGGAGGCTGAGGCTAGAAGATCACTAGAGCCCAGGCATTTTCGTTGCAGTAAGCTATGATGATGCCACTGCACTCTAGCCAGGGTGACAGAGCAAGACTCTGTCTTGACAAAAAAAAAAAAAAGTAAAATTGTAACATAAATAATTTGAAATGGAAACACAAAGCAAAAAGCCTGAAATGTTTTGTGTGCCCTGTGTTCTCATATTTATGCCACTGTCTATGAATGCAAAGACGTGGTCCAGCTACTTGCACCTGTAATCCACAAAGATTCTGGGCAGCTGCCACCTCAGTCTTCTCTCTGTACTATCACAGTTTGGGGTTGGTTTTTATTTTGCAGTTTTTGGCCAGGGCCAAGTTTGAACCTACCACCTCCAGTATATGGGGGCCGGTGCCCTTCTCCTTTGAGCCACAGGCGCCGCCCCACAGTTTGGTTTAAAAAAAAAACAAACTATATAGTAGCAATGACCACAAAAAAGCAATAATAACTTGCCTGAGGCCATAGAATCAGTAGATCTTACAGGTGGTGTGTCATTTATATGAGGGATATATATCTAGAAGATATTATTTGGATTTGGCTAAGGATGGGATATATTACGTATGTCATAAATTATGTAACTTATAGTTGATGAGCAGATAGATTTTCTTACGGGCCAGGTTGTAATGTGCTGGAACATGAATCTGGAATGTGTCCCATAGTCGTGTGTGTTGTGCATTTGGGAAGTCATCTATGTCACAGTTTGCGTACTTAGCTTGCCGTGTGCAGGGAGTGTGCCTAGCACTATCGTTCTTGTCTGTAACAGGTCAGTATATAGCGTGGCATGGTTGACCTGAGTTGATTCGTTCAATTGAATCTAAGCTGTCATCTGGAGAAAGATGCATTGCTATTCTTGTTACCAATTAAACTCTGACATGCTAATGATCACATTCCACTCTCAGAAATGTGGTTGTGCACCTCTTTGGGTCAACGAGGCACCATTTATAGAGGATGTGGATTGCTGGATTGTCCTGGACATATCTGTGCAGAGAATAGCTGTGCATGGCCTGTGATAGCAGCAGCCAGACAGGTAGCAGGGACCTGGGTCGGCCCCGGAGGCCCCTCCCAGAGCTGCCCTTCACTCCTCTTCCACGTTTATCGCTAGTCAGGCCTTCCTTTTCTGCACAGCTCTGCACTATTCCCAAGGCCAAGGGACCTGGCATCAGCCATTTTGGGGGTTGGGGGACCCTCTCTCTTCTTCCCTCCCTTAGAATCTTTTTTTTTTTTTTT